ATCATTATTATTTATCATTATTATTAATATTATTATATTATTATTAATAAATATTTCTATATTCCAGCCATAAAGAATGACATTACAAATTGAGGAATATATATATATATATATATTTAAAACAAACTTGAATTCACATAATTGCATTCTATCCCTTGTTCCTTGTTAATTATTGTAATAAAACAAAATATGCATCTGGTAACTTATGTCAGCTTTACTGATAAGATCGAAGGAAAACTTTGGATGATGATTTATTTTACATAAATAATAATTAACTAAATGAATGTTAAATTGCTACATATTAGGGATACGACTGTCATCAAAATTCCATTAATATTATCTGCATTATTAAGGCGGGACGGAAGACGGATGAGAAACTCTTGAAACAATTATTTCAACTATGATCAAAAAGTGTCCTCTTTTTACAGACAACAGCAAAATTTTGGTAATTATAAAATTATTTTGACAAGGATTTAGAAGTATTTAAGAACAACCAATACGTGTTTGGTAAAATAGATAACACTTACTAACGTACTACTAATGTACTTACAATTTACAGAAAACGATATAAAAGAATATTCATAAATTTAAACGAGAATTTAAATAAAGTAAAAATTTAACATTAGCCGTGTTAATCCTAATGCGCATAATCGGACGGGATAGCCCCATACGCAGGTGACATCTTGTTGATAAGTCATCGCTGTCGTCTGTTCTCTTCATTTGTTTAATTTTGGCATTGTCTAGTTCTATTAAGCATTTTTAATTAAAATCAATAATTTAAGCCTTCTGCAATATAATTGAGTTTTATAAAATTAACAAATTTTTTAACAGGTACAAAATTAACTAACCCGAAATATAAATTATAATTTGCCATTTCTGAGCGTCATCTGGAAAAGGTGTAGGTAAACCGTGCTATTATACCTACAGTGTTTTTATTGTACAGATACGAGGTCAGTTCAGAAAATAACCGGACTTTTTGAATTATGCGCTAATGGAGATGATAGTGATATGCGATTTTCTGGAACAGCGATGCAACATAAAATTTTAAGTGAAATTGGGAAAAAATTTCACGGTAACGTATCAAATGTTGAAACAAACTGAGATGAGATGGTACTCTGGGTCGTACGCAATGTAACAAATGGTTTTCACGACTTAAAAGTTGTGGTCAGTCAATTGAAGATGATCCTCGACCAGGAACGTCTTAGCCTTCAACTGATGACTCCCACTTTCAGAAAGTCAGAGATCTGGTGCGTGCAAATCGCTGATTGATTGTCAGAGAAAGATAAGAAGTTAGCATCTCAATTGGGTCATGCCATGAAATTTTGATTGAAAAGTTGAACATACATCTAGTTGCAGCAAAATTTGTTCCTCATTTGATGACCGAATAATAGAAAGAAATCGTGTAGAGGTTTGTCGGCAATTACTTGAACAATTCAGTGACTATAAAACGTTCATTCGAAGGATCATAGTGGGAGAGGAAAACTGGGTTTACGGCTAAGACATTGAGACAAAATTTCAATCATCACAATGGATTGGCAAAGGGTTTCCACGCCCCAAGAAAGTATGTCAGTCAGTCTCGACAATGTGCTTTTTCGACTTCAATGGAACTGTACATTTTGAATTATCACCTCAAGGTAGGACCATGAATCGTGTGTTCAATCAATGCGTTTTACAACGGTTACGTGAAAAAATCCACAACAGACCAGAATCGTGACGAGACAACTCATGGTTCTTGCACCATGACAATGCGCCTCCACACTCAGCTTTGTCAATTCGTCAGTTTTGTGCCAAAAATCACATTACTGTTCTCCCTCACCCTCCTTACTTGCGAGACCTGACTCCTTGCGATTTTTTCTTATTTCCGAAATTAAAATCAATGCTGAAAGGATGCCGTTTTCAGGTTATTGACGACAACAAAGCAAATTTGTCACAGAATTTAAAGGTCATTTGAAATACCTAAAGCTATCCAGGACTGCTCCGCGAAACACCGCTGAGA